CCATTCCTCTGCAGATGATCTGTTAGCTGTTTGACAACTACTCTTTCAAGGATGTTTGATATGAAAGGAAGGTTGGAGATTGGCCTATAATTAGTTAAGACTGCTGGGCCTAGAGATGCTTTTTGAGAAGAGGTTTAACTACAGCCAGCTTGAAGGACTGTGGTACATAGCCGATTATTAGAGATAGGTTGATCATATTTAAGATTGAAGAATTAGTGATTAACTTTGTGAAGTTGTGATTAACTTTTGTCTGTACCAGGATTTAGCTGAAACATTCAAGAGACATTCTCAGAAACCATGACAATTCTTGGAATTTTCTCAGTACTGGGAAGCTGTGTGAATACAGGCCAAAACAAAAAATGCTTTCTGCTTCTAAGAACTAGTGAGGTGGAGACTTTAACAGGAGTATGAGGGGGAAAATGCCTTAAGAAAATGGCCTTTAAAGACCAGAAAGAATGAGCTTTAAGAAGAAATATAAAAGTAAAAAATCTGTAAACATGACATTTACAGTAAGAATAGTAAGAGAAGTTTCACAATCACAACAAAATTCAACAAAATTTTGAAATGCTTTTTTTAAAAAAAATTTGTCGTAATATAGTTGTATATACATTATATTTAACATATGCTAATTAATGATAAGAGCATGATTTTGATGTTGCAGCTGGTAAACTGGTTCACTTTAAGTACGAGGCATCATAATACGGTAAGATTAGCTGTGAAGAATTTGATAAGTTTGTTATGCTAATCAATCAGAATCTACAGAAGCAGACTAAAGGATGGAAAAGCTGCAGATACATATGTGCATACTGCAGTTTTGTAGTGGTTAGCACGGCTTCATAATGCACATAACTGTGTATCCTAACGATACTTGATGTGAACCACCCATAGTGTTGATGTGATTTGGCGCCATATCTATAAAACGGAACTGAATTATGTTTGATTTATGTTTCATGTATATAGCGCCAAATCACAACAACAGTCGCCTCAAGGCGCTTTATTATTGGAAGGCAAAGACACTCCAATAATAAAGGAAAAACTCCAACAATCATATGACCCCCTATGAGCAAGCACTTTGGCGACAGTGGGAAGGAAAAACTCCCTTTTAACAGGAAGAAACCTCCAGCAGAACCAGG